CTTCCCTCTCCCGGGCAGGGGGTCCCGGCTGCTCCCCCCAGCCCCGCCGCCGCCTCCCACGGGCTCCGGTTTTAGCTCCTGGCTCCGGTTTTTATTGCTCTTGGGTTTGGACGGAGTCGGATGGAAAACGCCGGAGGGGTCCCGAGTGGGAGTGGGGAGCGGTAACCCTTTAGAGCCGGGGCCTCCATCAGGACCTGGGCACGGCCAGGTGCCTCCAGGTCCACCAGTCCGGGGCCAAAGGCCTGGCCCAGGAGAATGGGGAGCCCGGCAGGGTGTGCATGCACGGGAGCAGATCCTGGGAGGGGGCATGAATGCAAGCTGGGGGTGGGGGGGAAGCCCAACAGCGCCCCATTGAAGGGGAGGGTGGTCTCCCAGGCCAGGGGGGGACAACTCCCCGCTGCCGCCAGACAAAACACTGGGGAGGGGGGAGAAGGGGGGTCCCTCCAGCTGCTGCCAGCTGCTCTGCCATTAACACGCCTGCCGCTTCCCGCCTTCCCCTCCCTGGCTCCCAGCCCAGCCGGCTCCCGGCAGGCAGCGAGGGGCCCAGCTGTTCCTGGCAGGGGGGGTGCGAACCAAGGTGCTGAGCCCCTGAGCTGGATTTCGGGGTGCCTGGGGGTGCTGCGGCCATGCTGGAAGCACCAGTGCTACCTCCACGCTCCTTTGCCCTCCAGACCGGCTCCGTCTTTCAAGCGAGCTCAGCCCCACTTGCCTCCCTCCGGATATAGGATACCCCCCGGAGATCCGGCTGCAGCAGCTGGGGTGCAGGGGGGGAGGCAGGGGATGGGGACAGGGCCAGGGGGGCTGTTGTTTAGTCTGGCGCCATCTCGCCCCAGCCCGCGATGACAAGAGCAGGCTGCAGGGGCAGCTGGGCCTGGCCCGACCCCCGGCATGGCAAGGGGGGGTGTCCCAGGGCACCCGCTCTGCATGGCCACCGCATCGCCCCTCAGGGGGACGTCGTCTACTTTTGGGGTCCAATCCAGGGGCCTTTGTTTGTATCCTCATAGTTCTAATGTATAGACGCTCCCTAATTACAGACACTGAGAAAATGGTAGTTGGGAGATGGTCCCTTATTTAGCAAGAGAAACCAAGGGACTGTTGAAGTCGTCTGCTGCTCCACCATAAAGTCCACTGGTGTTTATAGATTCAGAGATGCTCGGGTCGGACGGGATCTCAACAGATCATCGAGTCCGAGCCCCTGCCTGGGCAGGAAAGAGCGCTGGGGTCACATGACCCCAGCCAGGTGCCCATCCAGCCTTCTCTTAAAGACCCCCAAGGTAGGGGAGAGCACCACCTCCCTCGGCAGCCCAGTCCAAATTCTGGCCACTCTCACCGTGAAGATGTTTGTCCTGACACCTAGCCTGAATCTACTCTGTCAGTCTGTGACCATGCTCCTTGTTACCCCAAGAGGCGCCCTGGTGAACGGAGCATCTCCGATCCCTTGCTGCATCCCCCGATGAATTTGTATGCAGCCACAAGATCCCCTCTGAGCTGTCTCTTGCGGAGGCTGAAGAGGTGCAGGTCCCTCAATCTCTCCTCGTAGGGCTTGTCCAGCGAGCCCCTGACCATGCGAGTGGCCTCCTCTGGATCCTCTCGAGTCTATCCACACCCTTCTTGAAGTGCGGTGCCTAAAACCGGATGCAGTGCTCCTGCTGCAGTCTGACCAATTGCGGGGGAAGCATCACCTCCCTGGATCTATTCGTCGTGTATCTGCTGATGCACGATAACGTGCGGGTAGCTTTGCTGATGATTTCGTCACACTGCCGACTCCTGTTCATCTTGGATCCACGATGACTCCGAGATCCCTTTCCGCTTCTGTGCTGCCGAGGGGGTCACTCCCAGCCAGTCGGTGTGATGGATATTTTTGCGCCCTCGGTGCAGTGCTCTGCACGTGTCCTTGTTGCACTACATCCTATTGTGCGCTGCCCGCTTCTCTAACCTGTCCCGGTCTGCCTGCAGTCGCTCCCTGCCCTCCGGAGCGTGCCCTTCACCCCACAATTTAGTATCGTCCACAGACTTGGACAGAGCACACTTCTCACCCACGTCCAAGTCGCTGATGAAGACATTGAAGAGTACAGGTCCAAGGACCGAGCCCTGCGGGACCCCCACTACCCACACCCTTCCAAACCGATACTGGCCTGTCTACTACCACTCTCTGGGTGCGACTGCTAAGCCAATTCACCACCCACCAGACCATGTAAACATCTGTCATGGCCTCTTCATTGATTTATGAGACTAGGATGAGATACCGTATCGAAGGCCTTGCTAAAAGCCAAGAAAACGACATCCACCTCTAGTCCTGCATCCAAGCATTTTGTGACCCTGGCATAAAACGAAACCAGACAGGTCAGGCATGATCTACCTGCTACGAATCCATGCTGCTTTCCTCGCTGCATTATTTTTCCCACTGGACTCCCGCAAATATGATCCGTCATAATCTTTTCAAAGACCTTTCCAAGCATGGAGGTGAGACTGACTGGCCTGTAATTACTTGGATCCTCCTTCCTCCACTTCTTGAAAACAGGGACCACGTTGGTCCTTTTCCAGTCCTCCAGGACCTGCCCCGAGCACCCAAACAGCCGTGCCAGTGGTTCTGCTACGACACCGGCCAATTCTTTCAGTACTCTTGGATGCGGCTCGTCCAGGCCTGCCAACTCGAACACGTCCAGTCCATCCACGTGACTCTGCACCAAGTCAGCAGAGTCTTGTCTTTCTCCACTGTATTTATTGAAGCCGGCGGTCGCTACAGGTTGCCTGTGCCCATTCGAGCGGGCCATGCACCTTCTCCACCCTCGCCCGTAACACGTCTTTCCAAAGCCCAGCTAAGATCCGGCCCCCTCGGCCCCGCCAGCCTTGCCGCCACCAGCCCCAATGCTAGAAGCTATCTGGGCCCTTCGTACAAGGCGATGCAATGTCAACTCTATGGGGTGAAAACAGGAGCTTGGACCTGTCTGCTGAGAATATCTGACTGCCATCAGATGCTCAAGTTTTCTGCCCATCCCTAGGGCTTTCTCCTCCAGCTCTGGCTGCTGGATCTGCTGCCAGGGCCAGGTTTGAACTCACACACAAGGCTCTGGGGTCATGCGTGTAGCCAGCCACATACATCTCCATGCATGCCCCTCCATCCCTGCACAGGTCTGGTCTTATATGTCCCCATGACACCTCCCAGGCCCCTGACATCATGCAAGGGGTAAAGCATGGCACTGAATTTTCTCGGTGACGGGAATAAGACCCCGGGCCCAACCTGCTGGTGCGGTATGGGTTTGCAACTGGGGAGATGGGGTTTGTGATTTGATCGTAGAGCCCATCGCTGCAAAGGCCCCGTTCACCCCTGGTGGAAATGCGGCTGCTTCTGGGGTGGGACAGGCCAGCGCCCGCAGGAACAGGGCACGGACTGGAAAGAAATGACTGTTTCTGGCGACACGGAGGGTCCCGGCTGCAGAGTCTGGCTGTGGGTCCTGGCTGGAGGGTCTTGCCTGCGCTCAGGCTCAGCCCCACGCTGCGCTGGGGCAGGAAGGGATTCCCCCCCCTGCTCAGACTGGTTGCACTGGGGGGGTTTGCCTTCCTCTGCAGCGGGGGCACGGCCTGGGCCTGGGGTCTCTGCAGCATCCACAACCCCCCGGCAGCAGCAGGACGTTGGCGGCCGTGGGCCCCCTGTATCCTGGGGGCAGGGGCGGGGGCGATGCCGGGGGCTGCTTCCTTTGGGGCTGTCCTTGGCACGTAAGACATGGGAAGACAAGCCACTGGGGGGGACGTGGCTCTGAGCTGTCCGTCCCCAGGGGGCTGTCATGGGCCGGCTTTGGCTGGAGAATAAAGCTTGTGTAGGAGCCTGGACCCCAGACCTCCCTCTCTCCCCATCCTCCTTTCCCTTTCATCCTCTCCCAAGCTCAGAGCCCGATGCCAAATGAGCTCCGGGACCTGCCAGCTGCTGACCTGAGTCACTGTAGCATCTCTCCCATTCATACCCATTATGCAGGTGGTGAAACTGAGGCACGGAGCAGGGTCTCGCTGGCTGCTCCCACTACTGGACTGCACTGCTTCTCCTCATTTTGGAGCGGGACGGGGGCTGCTCTGAGGCTCCAGCTGGACACGGGCACTGCCCTCGAGCCCCCCGAATTGTCTGCGCGAGCAGCAGGCGTGCGAGGCAGGCTGGGAAGCAGGAGGGGGGCTCCGCAGGTTCAGGCCAGAGGAAAGGCAGTGTCTGGCCAAGCCGCGGGAGGGGAGGAAGGGGCCGGCGTGCAGAGCTGGCGGGAAAAGCCCCTGGCTTGCAGAGGGCGCAGGCCGGAGCGGGAGGCCCAGGCGGGGGCTGCTTTCAGGGCAGGCCTGCAGCGCGGCGCAGAGACCCGGCCTGGGGGGCTGCAGGGAAAACCTTCCCCACGCCCCGAGCTGGGGGGGCAGAAACATGCATCTTCCCTGCCTGCATCTCCTCTTTTCCTGGGTGCTCGCTAGGCCCAGACCTGAGCCCTGACTTCTCCCTTGCCCAGAGCCCAACCGGCCGCTAGCCCAGCTCAGCTCCGGCTTGCCTCAGTTTACCCAGAGCCGGGTCCTCCTGGACCCAAACGGAGCTGGGAGGAGGCTGCGCGGGGGCTGGCACCGGCCTCCTCTCTCTGGGGTGGCTATGCCCCGGCCAGCTCGGGGTACCAAGCCTCCTGGGTGCATTGCCCTCATCATCAGCTCGTCCCCTCCTCCCAAGGGATTGCCCCAGACCACTCCCGGCTTCTTTCCCTCCCATCCCTGCAAAGCCTCCCCTGCAGGGGCTGCCCCCGGTGCCAGCTGCCCCCTCTTGCCCCAGTCCCCCGGTGCAGCTGGCTGGGGCCGGCCAAGGGGAGGGCAGGGGCGGAGGAGTCACATTTCACGCTGACATCAGCGCTCCCGCCCCGGGCCGACCCGCTGCAAGAGGCATCGCCGGAGCCGCACCGAGGTAGGCGCTGCGCTGCGCTCCCGGGGGCTGGGGGGCCGGAGCAGCAGAGGCCCGGACCCCCGGGGTCCTGCCCCCCAGGCAGGGAGGGGAGTGTGCCCGAGCGGTCAGAGCTAAGGGGCTGGGCGTGAGGACACCTGGGCTCTGTCCCCAGCCTTTGGGTAAACCTGGGTCCCTTGTTGGCCTTTGCACCGTGCTGGCAGAGCCGGGCAGGGGGCGGGATGCCCCAGGGGTGGGGGGAGACCCTCTGCTGTCCGCCCATCCCATTGCAGCTGGACCGGCCGGGAGGACCCCTCTTCATTCATGCACCAAGCTGCTCCCGTGCTCAGCCGCGCCGGTGTCTGGGAAACCTGCACAGGGGAGCAGAGCCTTTCAGCTTGGCTTAATGTCCCCCGGCATATGGAGCGGAAAGGGGGGCCTCCAAAACCCGGCCCAGTAATGCAGCTCTTTCTCCCTTGCAGCTCCATCCAGCTCGGAGGGCCAGGCGGCCACGGCGGCCAGGAGGTCTGGTTATGGTGGCGCCCGCGCTCGGAGACCCCCAGAGCTGGTGACCATGTCCGGAGCCGCCCACCGGGCCTGCTTGCTGCTCCTCTTCCTCTTGCTGTCCCTGCCCGGGACCCTGGCACTGCCCAGCATGCCCTGCTACCTGCAGCGGGGCTGGCAGCGGTTGCTGGAGGAAGGGGAGGGCTGCATGGCCTGCCGCCCCGAGGACTGCCCGGCACCGCGTGGCTGCCTGGCCGGGCTGGTCCGGGACGCCTGCGACTGCTGTTGGGAGTGTGCCAACCTGGAGGGGCAGATCTGCGACCTGGACAACACCAACCACTTCTACGGGCGCTGCGGGGACCACCTGGAGTGCCGGCTGGACGCCGGGGACCTGCGGCGCGGAGAGGTGCCCGGACCCCAGTGCACCTGCCTCTCCGCCCAGGCCCTGTGCGGCTCCGACGGCAAGACCTACGCCCAGATCTGCCGGTTCCAGGAGGCGGCGCGGGCCCAGCCCCAGGCCAACCTCTCCGTGGCCCACGAGGGGCCCTGCGAAGCAGGTAGAGTCGGGCCTGACCCTGCCCTCGTGAGCCCCGAATGCGGGGCTGTCTGTAGCTGCAGGGGCTCCTGGGCTTACGGGAGGCAGAGCCTGGGGTCCACAAAGTGGATCTGCTCCGTAAGCCGGAGAGTGGCTCTGCCCCCGATGCAGCATCTTCTGCTTGAGCTGCTGCATGAAATCCCAGCGCCGTGGGGCGGGCGGGGAGCTGCGGGGTCACATCCAGCCCAAGGCAGGATCAGCCCTGTTCAAACCAGCCCAGACAAACCCCGTGTCGGACCTCAGAGCCACACGCCACCGCCCCAGGCATCACCCCTGCCCGACGCAGCCCCACGCATCACCCCTGCCCCCAGGATACAGGGGGGCCGCGGGCACCAACATCCTGCTGCTGCCGGGGGTGGGGGGTGTGGAGAGACCCCAGGCCAGACCGTGCCCCTGCAGCAGAGGAAGGCAACCCCCCCCCAGTGCAACCCAGTGTGAGCAGGGGGGAAATCCCTTCCTGCCCCAGTGCCTGAGTGCAGGGGCAAGACCCTCCAGCCGGGACCCTGCGGGGTGGGTGCCAGCAGGAGCATTGGCGCAGCCCAGCCCCATCCCCAGCCTGCGCTGCAGCAGCACTAGCGCCTCTGCTCTCGCAATGCAGAAATGTTTCCTGATCTCCATCTAAACCTGCTTTGCTGCAACTTCAAGACATTGGTCCATGTCCTTCATGGAGGGGCCGCAAGAGGCATGAACTGTACTTCAGTAGCACCCACAAGTTGCATTGTGTGAGGCTCTGAGTACGTACACACGCACACGTGCATGTGCCCCCTTGCACACACCCGGAGAGGCTGTCCTGCCCCCGCCGAGGAGGTGCCAACCCTAGCAGACAAGGCAGGCACAGGCAAGTGGAGGAGCCCACCTGGAGAGGTGACTTGCCCAGGCCGGGACCCCCGAGAAGGCCCTGGCAGAGTTGAAGCCCTGTCCCAGGTCCCTGCTGCTTGGCTATAATGCCACAAGCCCTGCCCAGGGGAGCCAGGACAGCACGAGCCGGGAAGCAGCTGGACGCTGTGTGCGGGGCTCCCAGTGCCGTCTTGGCCTCCAGACAGCTTCGTTGCAGGCAGAGCTGATAGCTTTCCCCCTGCTCATCTTTGCAAACAGCCCCGGCTCCGCGTCGTCCCCTCCAGCTCTTCCCCCTCCTCCAGCCGGGGAAGAACGTGGCTCAGCTCCATCCAGCTGTGCGGCTTCCTTAGGGTTTCATCCTGCTCTGCTCTTGGGGCAGGTTTTGGAGGAAGCCAAATGGTCCGGAGCTGGCTCTACCCAGCACAGACCTCGCTTGGAAGCCAGCGAGGAGCTGCGGGGTCGGGCCAAGCCAGGCCTGCTTGTTGCACCCGTAGCAAAGGGCCTAGACCCGCTCGGGAAGGACAAGCCTCCCTGTTTCTAGGGGGAATCCCGGCTCCCGGTCCATGCTGCAGCCTGGGGGAGCTTCGCTTCCCTCCCATTCCAGTATTTGCTGCACAGTTTGCTTGCATTAAAAACCCCATGGAAGTTTGACCTTCTTCTTCTTGGGGAGGAAACCTCCGCTGAGCTGCTTGGCTCAATGCCCTGGAGAAGCAGAGGGCTCTGGCCACTTTTGATGCCGCAGCGTTGACTCTGGAACCTAATGTCAGCAGCTGCCGTGCCCGATGGTGCTAGCTCCTTTGCCTCCCGTTGGACATGCGCTGGTGCATCAGACGGCTGAATCAGGGGCCCTGGGGAAGGTGGGGAACAAGCATGAAGGAAAGGATGAAGGATTGGGGTACCCGAGTTTGGAGATCAAGTCGGGGGGAGTTTGCAAAGATGGGAAAGAAGAGGGACAAACGCTGTTCTCCTGGCCACTGAGGGTGGCAAGGGCCTGAACCAGGCCTGGTCTTTGCCAGACCCTCCCAGGTCCCCGCTGCACCTCCCTCCATGCCCTGTGCCAGCTGCCAGACGTGGCAGCCCCCACCATGCCGCCCCTTGCCCCCCTGGGCCTGTCACTGCCTTGACGCAGTGTTAACAACCCAGCCCAGCTGTTTTGCTGGATCCCGGGGCCCCAGGCACCGGCTCTCGCCTCCTGTCGCGGGCTCCACGGCTGTTCAAATCAAGTGCCTCCTTGGGATGGCCTGCCGGCTGCTGGGGGGACGTGCCCGCTCCTGGCAGCTGCTAATCGGCCCCGCTGGCTCCCCTGCTCCTGGTGCTGTGCCGCCAGTCTTAGCCTGTCCCCGACACAGCCCTGGGTCCCTGCAGTGTCACGGGAGGCCAGGAAAGACCCCTGGAGATGTGCTTTCCTGCCCGGTCCATGCCAGAGGGCTCTGGGTCCTGGGATGCATGGATGGGGGCAGAGGAGCCTGTAAGCACTGCGTGGCCGTGAGAGTCCCATGGCTGCAGGGTGCAATTGGGGAGGGGCGTGGGGGGCACCTAGCAAGATTGCCAGGTGGGCATGGGACCCAACCATGGTGGGATAGAGCCCGTGAGCTCCTGGCCACGGGGGTCACAGGGCCCGTGAGGGTTGGGCTGGCTCCTGACCACTTCTCCCCTCTCCCCCGTCCCCCCGCAGAGCCCCAGATCCTGTCCCCTCCCTACGACATCTGGAACGTCACCGGGCAGGACGTCATCTTCGGCTGCGAGGTCTTCGCCTACCCCATAGCGTCCATCGAGTGGAGGAAAGACGGTGCGGAGATGCTGCTCCCGGGAGATGACCCCCACATCTCCGTCCAGGTGAGGGGCTGCGGGGGCGGTGGGGCGCGCGGTCCTCAAAGAACGCCTCGACTCTTAGCGTCTCGGAGGCAAGGGCCGGACCCAGGCCCTTATAAAGGCAGGGTGCAGGCGATGAGCTGTGTCATCCCATATAACATGACCTATTTTTTCTTCAGTTAAAAAACAAACTAGAAGCTTTCCTCAGATGCCAGGGGCCTGCTTAGGGCTATAACACTCTGTTCAAGAAAGAAGCAAACACAAATACAGTGTTATAGAAATGCACATTTATTTACCCTGTTATATATGAAGCATAAAAAACACAGTGCACTAGGGCAATAATAGTCCAAAGCTGCTGTTTCATTCGGCCCTGTTATCAAACACTGGGCATGTCTACACACGCTCTTTAATGCGCAGTAGCCTATTTTACTGCGCATTAAAGTGTCACATAAAAAATACAATTTTGCAATTGTGTGAATGCACAGTAAAATAGGCTACTGAGCATTAAGCATCACTTAAAAAACATGTGTTTTCAATACTGTGCATTAAGGCTGCCTAATGTGCATTTATTTAGCACCTCACATTGGAAGTACTAAATTTAATGCGCATTAGGAAAAGAACATGAATGCACGTCACACCCACTTAAGTGAACATTTCCTAATCAGGTTTGTAAAACCAAATCAAGTCTCTTTGAGGGCCTGGAGAATGCATCCAGCACTTGGCTGACAGCTATTTCTACACCTGAGTTAGTGTTTTTAGCTGAAGAATAAAATCTGCAGGCGGGTGGGAGGGTCTGTAGACACCGCGGTCCGTCCAGCTGCACCCTCAAGCAGCTCCTGTGTGTCTGACATCCAGGGAGGGTTCGCAGCTGGCTGAGATCCTGCCCTAAGTGCCACCTCGACAGCCCCAGGAGACAGGCGGGCAGGCGGCTGCGTCGCACCCATCTATTAAAAGATGATGACTCGGAAGCTGCAGGCTGGAGAAGCCCGACGGCGGGGTCGGCAGGAAGGCTGCAGGGGGAAATTATGGTTTGGGAGAGAAAGCGCGGTCAGAGTTCAATGCAACTCAGCTCCAGAAAGAGGAGCTTTTTCTGGGGGGAAGGGGCACGGGGTCCGGGCATGGGCTTGACTCCCGCTGAAGTGGTTCCCCTGAATCCCGGCTGGGACGTAGGACGTCGGCTATCTCAGTGCTCCTCGCTTGGCCTGCAGGCACCGTGGGCCAAAGTGTGCTCAAGCGCAGCCGTGGGCCAGAGGGACTGAGAAGGACTGGGCATAGCAAGGTTCAAGCTGGATCCCTGGAGCACTGCATTCACTGCAGAAAGGATGTGGGCAAATTGGAGGGCAACAAAAATGGTTGTGCTGTTAACTATGGGTGTCCCTGTCCTTCTTTGCCATTAGCCTGCGGCGTGCAGATGCTCAGGGTCTGAAGTCAGGGGAGAGCATCTTTCTAGCCCTTTTCCCCCTTGCATGCAGGCTCGTGGTTGCATGAATGAAGCCCTATAACGTGGAGGTAGCAAGCTGGGGTTTTATTAGGGGAAAAAATACAGTGGGGGCTCAGGCCTGTGGTCTGTGGCGGGGATGTTCTGTAGTGTAGACCACGGTCCCCCTGCGTCCCTGTGGCAGGTTCAGGTGTGATTTCTTGCATTGTGTCAGGGTTGATGGTCGTCTCATTAAGAGCTTAGACAATGGGTTTGTCTGGGTGGTTTGCACAGGGCTGATCCTGCCTCAGGCAGGGGTTGGACGAGACGTGACCTCCCCAGTCCCTGCCAGCCCCACGGCTCTAGGATGCTGCAAAATAAGGAGAAAGGAGAAGAGGAAGCAGCTATGGGGATTGAAGGAAATGCACTTTTCCATCCCACCCCCCTCTCCCCCTGCCTGGCCCAAATTGTACAAGCGAGCAGCAGAAAAGGCTAACGGCTTTTTTTTTTAACGAGGCTCATATTGGCCACAGAGGCCCCGGCTCATTGGCAGCACGTGCAGACGGGTGGGGGGCTGGTGTTGCAGGGTGGGCTCGGGGACAGTTCCCGGGCCACCGTCAGGCAGTGCGGTTTCCTGGCTGCAGCTCAGGTGCGCGGGTCTGCGGAGGGGCCTTCCCGGCGCAGCCACTGCATGTCCTGCGGGAGAACCGGGCGTCACGAGGCAGCCGGCTAGGGCTTTCCCGGTCCCTTGTGAATGCTAGAGATCTCCACATCTGAAAAGCATTTGGGTTGTTTTTCTGCTTGCTGCCAGCAGCTCCTTTCCCGGCCGGCTGCAAGGGTTTGGGTACGGGGACGTTGACAGGGCCACGCAGGGAAGAGCTGGCTTTGGGGAATGGCTCTCTGGATCCCCTTTGCTCCCTCAGCATCATATTATCCCCCTTCACCTGCCTCTTGCAGACGCTCCGGCCTCGGTGCTGGTACCAGTGCCTTCACCGTGCTGGTACCAGTGCCTTCACCGTGCCGCTAGAGGGAGCCTCTTGTATCCTAATCTCCTAGGTCTGCCAAATCAGTCCAGGGAAGTGTGTGTGTGTGTGTGTGTGTGTGTGTGTGTCCAGGGAAGTGTGTGTGTGTGTGTGTGTGTGTGTCCCAGCTGCTTCCCCAGCAGTAGGAGGCTGTTATCCTTCAACAACTGGAGCGGCCGTGCTGCTTAGACCCCTGCAGATGCTGGTAGCAAAATCACAGAAGCACAGAGCCACGGGGTCCCGTCTAGTCCAACCCCTGCCTGAAGCAGGATCAGCCCTGTGCAAACCAGCCCGGACAAAGCCATCATGTAAACTCTTTGGAAAACTCCCATCAGCCCTGCCACCACCAAGACATCACAGCAGGAAAAGCAGGGGCACTGCAGTGGCCAGGGTCCTGCCTTTCTAAAACGTTGTTAATGGATGCTCAGGAGACCTGCTAGAGAGGAAGGCGAACCCTGCCACCCTAAATCCATACCAATCTGAGCAGGACGGAAATCTCTTCCTGACCCCAAATGTGGCATCGGTTTGAGCCTGAGTGCAGGGGCAAGACCCTCCAGCCAGGACCCTGCCGGGTTGGTGCCAGCAGGAGCATTGGTACCCCAGCCTGGGTACCCAGTGCCTCTGGGGGAGGCTTAAAACCCCCTGACATGGAGCAGAAAGTGTGGGACAGGGGGCAACCAGCAAAGCCCAGAAGCCTGGGAATACCCATAGCAGAAACTCGATGCGGAGGGCATCGTTGGTGGGAAGCTGATTTGTAGCTGTTGCCCACAGACCTGCCCCTGGCCTGGGGCTCTGCTTGGGCAGCAGTTCCCATTTGGGTGATGCCCACGAGCTAAAAGCCCCCGTGGGGGGAGCCCTGCTGAGTTGCACCAGGGATAGCGCTGGTCCTGTGTGCACGCCAAGGGAGGTTGTGCTTCCTTAGAGCGCTGTCCCGGGCCTGGCAGCAGCAGGGCTTGGCTCATGTACCCAGGGGAGCTTCCTGCTGTCTCCTGGTGTTACCCCAAGGTTGACTCTGGGGGCTTTTATTTTATCTGGAGAAGTACAAGAGAAGTCCAAACAAGCTTCTCTGAACTAGACACCGGTGTCTTGGGATATCAGCAGGCAGGCAACGTGACCAAGAGAGGGGTCCCAGGCCCCTCGGAGCCTGTCCTCAGGGTTGGGGACAAGTCCTGGACGCCCACCCCTCTGCTTTTGTGCAGGGGAGTTTGATACAGCCCAGGTATAGCTGTCCATACTCTTGCCCATTTCTCTGGGATAACCATCTCTTGGCCACTTGAGTAGGGAGCAGGGAAACTGAGGCATGACCTGTGACCATGGTTGTTTCCTAGGGTTGTCTTATTAGCACTGGGTGTGATCCCTGGCCCGTGCATCTCAGGTCCCTTGAAACTGGCCCTCACTATCCCTCTTTTCTCCCGTGCTCATCGTTGTGACCAGACCGAGCTGCTCCTGGGAGCAGACGGTGGATCTGGGAGAAGCATGGCAAAAAAGGGGCAAGGGGTCCCTCCAGTCCCTGTGGTGGACTTGGACCTTTGGTACTCCTGCAGTCACAGAATAGGGGTCTCCCGTTGCACACAGCTGGCGTTTCAGGAAAAGAAATTCTGGGTTTTCTTTTGGAGAGAAGTGAGGTGGCGATAGAGAAAACTGCCCAATATAACCCTAAGTTGGATGGCACCCAAAACGCCAGTTGGGTGCACCATCACAGTGCATGCTCCGGCAGCCTTAGGAGACCGTCCTGACACCGGGGGAGTTTTCCTCCAGTCGCTCCGATGCAAAAGGGGCCTGGGCCCTACAGCTCAGCATAACACCCTGCTGACGTTACCCCACGGCATCTCCCTGCAGTTTCGGGGCGGCCCCCAGAAGTACGAGGTGACCGCGTGGCTCCAGATCCAAGCCGTGCGGGTGACGGACGAGGGCACCTACCGCTGCTTCGCCCGCAACAAGGTTGGGCAGGCGATGGCGCTCGCCAGCCTGACGGTGCTCACGCCGGGTAAGCGAAGCTTTCCCAGCTGAAGGGGCTTGTTGGGGGGGGGTTGTGGGGCAGGGCAGTCAGTGGGGCGTCCGCAACATGGGAATAAGGGAGCAGCTGCTTTAGCTGGCAGCAGTATTAGGTTGTTATCCACTAGCAAGAGGCGATGCCAGGCTCTGGAGAGTATGGGGTGCCTTTTGGCCAAGTCGTAGGAAGACGGGGTAAAGCCAGTCAACCCTCCTGCTTTTCGGCTTAACTCCCTGATGCCCCAAATGACCCCCTGGTAGGCAGGGAATTTGAGCATCGTCCCTATGGGCGAGGGGGGCAGGGTTCCTATACCACCCTCTGCAGCACCTGACACCAGGCCTGGGGACCCGCCAGGATGAAAGAGCTGATGCCATTTCATAGCATCCACGAATTAACCCCCTTGACCAGAGCTCACCGTGGGTGGCATGTGGTGGTCTGGGTCCGGAGTTGCAAGACCCCCTGGATCTTCCCCGGGGCAGGTGTTTGATCACCTGCCCACAAGCTGCGGGATGGAGGCAGCAAAGTGGGAGGGAGAGGGTGCTGGTCCCATGCAGCGGAGAGGAGATGGGCCCATCGGCTGCGGTGTCTGTGCTGCACTTCCAGATCAGCTGAATATGACGGGGCTGCTCCTGCCAAACCCCCGCCCGGGGCCGGAGGATTACGTGGACAGCGAGGAGCTGGAGGACTATTACTAGCGGCTCCCGGGGGGTGCTGGGCTTGCCTCCTCCTCACTGCCCAGGCTGCCTGCACCGGAGCATTTCCCTGGACCTCGGTGGGGAAGTATGGGGGGATCTCACCAGCTGACCCCCCGGCTCAAAACTCCTTCTCTGCATGGTCCTTCTGGGGGGTCATTTTTCGACGCACCCCTTTGCTGGGTGAAGGGGGCGACAGGAGGGCGGGGGGAATGCTATTGATTTGGGGGCTTGGGTGGAGCTGGTGCCCAGGCATCAGGGACACCCCGGGCAGGGTCTCAGCTGTGCAAGGCACATCCACAGGGAGTCCGGAGAGGCCAAGCCATTGCTTCCCCATCCCGCTCCCAAATCGGGTATGGAGAGACCAGGCCCAGCGGTGCTTTTTGGCCACCCCCAAGAACAAATGACTTGGGAGAAGCATGAAACCACATCCCCAAGACGAAGAGCCTCCGTCAGCCAGCACAACTGGAAGTGAGCATAGGGGAGGCTCGCTACCACGGAAGTGCTGTGCGAAGGACCTGCTGGAAACCTGCCCGGGAGGGCTGATCAGATGGGAGCGGCATGCAGGATCTGGCAAAGCAGAGGAACCTGGTGGTTCTCAACCTTGTTGAGACTCCAGGCATCCCTTGGTAGACTCCAGGCCCACTCAGATAAGGCCAGCTCTTTGCTTTCTTGGCTGCGGAAAAACACTAGAGCCTTTCTTCTGTTGCAAAGACCTCCGACATGACACAGAGGGCAGGAGGGATGTGACTCTCTGGATTCCTGTCTGCAACCTCTGGGCTGACCTGGTGAATCCGGTGGAGGGGTTTGCACACCTCGCAGCGACTGATGACCCTGAGCGACACGCTTCCACGGCCCTCACGGCATCCCCGGTTGAGAATCCCTCCGCTAACCAGCAAGGACTGACATGCCCCGGGCCAAGCAGCTTCTGCGTTTCCAGCTGAGCTGGGCTGGGAGGTTATTTTTAATGCTGAAAACACGCATTTGTCTAAACCCCAACGCTTCTCGTGGTTTCCGCGCGGCTTCAACTCCGGAGCATTTGGGGAAAAACCGTCTCAGTTGTCAAGCGCTTGGCTGAAGTCACCTCCACGTGGACAGCGCCTGCTGCCCAGCTACAGAGGGGCTGGCATTTCCCAATTAAGCTAATTATACTTTCAGAAAGGTCGCGCTGGCAGCAGAGCCCTTGGCTGGACCCACCCTGAGTGTTTTTGATTATTTTTAGACTGCAAAGAAATGTTGCTTTTCTGGCCCGATTTGGGATTTTTCGAATCCTTGAGCTTTTTCATGGGATGGGAGAAACATTTCCTCCCTCCTGGCCCTGGTGTCCAGCTCTGCTCCCCCAGCTACTGCACCACTGCGATCCCAATCCCGGAGACCCCGGGGGCTGAGTTTTAACAGGGTGCTGGCGGTGTAAGATCCCCTTCTCCTGGTCTGCCACCACATTGTACAGAAGCACCACGATGTGAGCCTCCCCAGGGTATTAAAGGATTTTTCCACACCCCCCTTCTTTGTATGTGTGGGTTTTCTTCCCTTGCAGGGGGACCCCGGGACGCATCCAGACCAGCCTCCAGCACTGTCCTCGAAGCAGCCCCAGTGCCCAGTGCTGGGCCGAGGGCGGCAGTGGTTCCTGCAGTGACCGTGCAGGAGCTGTACAGAGGCGTGTGGGATAGGAAGCGAAGGGCGGCGTGTGGCATGCAGGGGACGGGAGGGGTTCAGAAGTGAATGCCGCTTGAGCAGCACACGTGGGTTTGTATCCCTCCGCGTGGGTCAGGATGGCGCGTGTGTATGTCCCAGTGAATACTGTGGGGCTTGGCGGTGAAGTATCCAACCTCCATGAAGAAGAAGTGTCTGAGAAGTGGTGCCAGACTTTGTTAAGTCCTAAACCTCTGGCTGCATTGAACGTCTGGAGCCCTTGAGAACCGCACGATGGCAAGGTGCGGTCTTTGCAAGCCGGAGACGGACCTCCCTGCTTGTGAGAGGTTGGCTTTGCTTTTCACTGCAGCAGCCGGACGTCTTTGCAGACTTGCTTCCAGCCTAATGAGGTTTTCAGCAGAGTCAAGGAGACATCCCAGGAGCTCGGGAAACAGGCGGGCAATTTGGGGGTGAGCCTGCATTAGAGAAAGGGGTCACCGATGCTCCGCAGTCGTGGGTGATCCTTGCAGACGAACTATCTGGACGATGTGTTATGCATTCTCTTATCCACTGAGCCGGGCCAGAGGTGAGATGGAGCCAGTGCAGGGCGGCATGGCACTCTGCTTCCTTCCCTGGGGGGTTCAATTGGTCTTTGGAAACTCAGTTTTCAGTTAAAAGGAAAAAGCAAAAATGAGGAGGCGAGAAACGAGAAAAGGAGATGCCTGGAACAGTTCAGGGGATCGATGTGGCAATGTCTGCCTGAGTTTGCTGTCTGCCAGGGGCCTGAAACCACGGTGGGAGGAGAGAGTGGGGTTTATTTTGTGGGAAGACCTTGGATGACAGGCCTCGGGGTGCTCCCTGGGATCTAGCTGGTAATGCAGCGTGCCTGCTTCGGAGGAAGCGTGATGCCATGTTCACAGCTTGGCAGAGACGTTTCACGGGGAGTTGGAGCCGGGGGAAAGGAGAGGATGAGAGCACGGGTGATGGTCAGCTGTAACAGAGACCTGCGCTGCTGGAAATCAGCTCCTCGTTCCTGATCCACAGTCTCAATCCCAACCCCAGTCTCCCTTGACTGCGGGGCTCAGCTGGTGCACCTCCGCCCTGACCTACAGCCCCCTCCGGTACATGAGTCCAGGGCTCCCAGTGCCCCCAACCCCGGCTATGTCCCTCCGACTGGGATGCAGGGGCAGTTTGCTCCTCGGAGCTGGGCTGAGATCCGTGCCCTGGACAGGGCTGGCGTGAGACGTAAAATGAAGGTGCTGCACGTTCGCACGACCCGAGCTCCTGCCTTCCAGCAGCCATGAGGGGCCTCTCTCTGCACCACCAACCCCACCGGCCCCAAACAATCACTTAAAAACCATAAGATTTGAGTAAAACCAAGCTGCATGGGGATCTTCCAGCCCTGAGGGGGCATTGGGGTCAAGCTTTTCCCCCACAACCAGGAAAGAGGGAAACACGCTGACTTTTAAAGCAAGCGGAGAAGGTTTTTTTTAGGACATCCCCTGACTCCGGGAGCTGGGGCTTTATGCCAATCACACATTAAGAAAAGACTCGCAGTGGACAGCGGCCACTCGAGCCTTGCCACAGGTCACTGGAAGGGTGCAAGGCCAAGCCCCAGGCCAAATCCTGAGCTTAGCAGGCGCGGAGCAGACCCAGAGCAGCCCTGTTAGCCTCAGAGGAGGGGCCGGGTTGGCACCCTCCGGCATTTGGCAAGGGCCTGGCTTGCCACCTGCGTCAAACGTGGGCCCGGACGTCGGGCTGTTCTCAGCTGCTTTCCCCCCTCGCACTTCTGGTCTCAAGTGCCGGCTGAGAGCCACGACCTGGCAAATAAAAGGGTTTTGTTCAGCGCTGGCAGGCGGAGAGGAGGCCTGCAGCCATGGAGGCTGGGCCAGCCCTCATCCCGCTCCTCGGGCCAAAGTCAACAGCGGCTGCGGGTCAGCGCGGCCGTGGGGCGCCGAACATGGGCCACGTGTGGGTCAGCGTGGCCATGCGCCTCCCTCCTGCTCCCCCACGGTTTTGGTTTCACGGAGGTGGCTTTTGGGCCAGGAGCCGTGGTTTAGGGGAGCAGGACAGCCCCACCAGTGCCTCCCAGTTTATTCCAGTCTATGCAGCTGTGGGTCGCCCCCCAGCTACAGCCCTCCACGATTTTGCCCCCAGCGACGGTGCCATTCGCACTGGAGGTCTTTGCCCACCATGGTGGCCACGACAAAGACCCGCTACCATCTGGGGGCTGGCCAGAGGGTTTGGACCTCCCGAAACCCATGGCTGGATTCAAAACAGATGCCCTTGGTTTCGGTGGGAGCTGCCCCAGTGCAGGGAGCTGGAACAAGGGGACATTTACTGGGCCGGGGGGTTGCCCAGCGAGAGCTTTTTGCCTCCCTGTCATGATGAGCCTTGGGGTGGACGGAGAAACCTGCCCTCCATCTCCACCCACCTTTCCCAGGCCTCGCTCCAGGCTCTCAGATGTGTTTAATAGCAATAATATTTGCGGTTCGGGGTGTGGAGAAGCTGGAGAGAGCCAGCCGGGGAGGGCTGGGCAAGGACCCAGCTTAAAATAGTTAGACCCAGGGCAGGGGCTGGGGTGGAAGGGGGGCTGGACCCGATGATCTGCAAGGTCCCTCCCAGCCCCTAACGACTATGAAACTATGAAGCTCTAGTGGTTTGGGCACTGCCTAGGACTTGGGGCACCTTCTCTGCCACAGACTCCCTGTGGGACCTTAGGCAAGTCTCTTTGCCGCTCTGTGCCTCAGTTTCCCTGCAATAGGCTGGGGGAACGCAGTCTGCACCCCACTTTGCAACCAGGCTAAAGTGAATGAAAACAAGGGCAATCGCTGTCTCCTGGAAGGAGCTTGCAGCCTCTTCGCTGCATTTGCAAGCGATGAGGTGGTCCCGGTCGCCCAGTGCACCCAGTGGGGGAAATGTCCAGCTGGAGCATGCGCCCCGGATGCCACCCTTGGGGAATCACAGACTCAAGAGCCGTGGGGCTGGAAGGGGTCCGTGGAGGTCACATCTAGTCCAGCCCTGCCCAAACCATCCCAGACACATCCATAATCAAAACTCTTCATAAAACTACCACAAGCCCTGACATAGCACCGGACATCACATGGAAAAGCAGGGGGACCGCGGCTGCTGCAAAGAGAGAGCCCAGCCAAAGGCCGTGACCCCCACTACCCCAGTCCATAGCAATCGGACCGGGGGGGACAATCCCTTCCTGCCCCCAATGCAGCATTAATCTGAGCCTCTAGCCAGGACCCTGCGGGGTTGAATCCCAGCAGGAGCATGGGCACAGCCCAGCCCCATCCCCATCCCCATCCCCAGCCTGGGCTGCAGCCAGCACCCAGTGCCTTGGAGCAACCTGAGGATGAGCCCCACATTTGCAGCACGCTAAAGGCTGCCAAAGCATGAACAGCACGTGGCGGCAGCGAATCCATATGGGGGGGGACCAGAGACAGGCTTGCAAGGCTCTGAGGGACCCAGTTTGGGTGGCCGTGTCTCCGAGCAGGTGTTTTGCAGAGGGGTTGCGGGCCTGTGGCCAGCTGCCCCACGTCTCTGCACTGGCAGGGGGCTGCTGGCTGCTTGGGGGGGGACGGGGGACACAAGAGAAATC